AAAATAACAAACATCCACGAACAGTCTACTAATATAAAAATTATATAAATTTCTCAAAAAGTTTTGCTAGCACTGAATTCCAACCAGTTTAATAAAGAAATACTTAACGTATGCTGAATCAAATGAAATAAACGCTAAGAATGTTGTCATATAAAGCGCTCAATTATGTTAAGGATAACTTTAAACTTAGATGTAACGATCAACACGATATGAGATAAAGGTAAATGAAACATAGTATATAATCATCTGGGTGCACGGAAGTGCCTCTGCCAAGTCGAGCAAAAAGTAAACATTAATTTAAAGCATTCCTAAAGATTAACTTTTACAGACATGACAGGATATGAGAGTCACTACTCTATTCGATCAAGACCTACTTAATAGATTGCTGTCTATGTTGTATATTAAAGTATCTTCTTTTATATTCTTAAGTTCAAATTAATGTATAAATAGGATTTTTAACCCGTTAGGGTTGTTTTATATCACGTTCTTTTTATTGACTCGTAAAAGGTAAAATTAGAGTACACCCTCTGTAACTAACCTATAAAATAAAAATAATCTTAGTATTGAACTAATTCAAACTGTACCCGTCGAACATAGAATCTCGTGATTTCTTATTTTGAAGTCAATTAAAAAGCATAAGTTATTAAAGTAGGTTTGAAAAACAAATGAAAACAATGAAGATTTACACAAGTGCATTTTTATGTAAATTAATAATTCTTTTTATTGTTCGTAATTTCATATTATCAAGCTGAGGACACCTTGTAAAAGTGAAAATAAAATAAATTAGCTGAGAGAAAAGAAGTAAAACAATTAAAACATTAATCAGGTGCATTATCACTTTGTAAATAAAATAATATACTGGTAATATTATATAGAAAAACGGTTATATGATATGAATAAATAAAACGATTATAAATTATAAAGAAATATACAACTAGAAAAAACAGATTTCAAATTCTCCTTTACAAGCGATTCTACCGACTTTTGCTTTCTATTTTTTTCAAGATTAATAGGATTACAAAAAACATCAGTAAATGTATTACGATTCCATACACGTGGTAATTTTTTTCACTTTTACCATAAATTGGATGTAAAATGATAGATATGATATATATTCCACTATATACATATGTAATGTAAATAACCTGAATTTCGGAAGCGGCTCCAATAATTTTCATGAAATTTAGTAATTTAGGTTTCAGGGGTAATAAATGTCGATTTAACAGTGACCATAACCGCAAGCCATTTTACGCATAATTTTTAATTTCCTTTAATAATAAATATGGGTAAAGAGTTATCTTTTTACGTCATAATTTTAAGTCATAAATCTCTTGTAAGGGCGTTTGTGCACTACACTGAATTTTCAGGTCCGGCGGTTCCCGATTTTTCCGGTCCGATATGTGTGGATTGTCAGGAATTTTGCCGTCCGGGATTTAACTTTTCTCTATTCCGGACCGGTTTTTCAGGTCCGTGACGCAATGAAATACGTGATTACGCTTGTGCACTGCTGTGTCCACGATCCGGAAAATTCATGAGCCTGCGGAGTAGGCTTTAAATAAATCGCAGTTTATTGTAAATTTTAAAATACGATATTTTATATGATGATTCGATAAAGTTGGTAAATATCACGGCATATGCGTTGGCAAACTCGATATAATTCTAATTTGATCATCGTATAGTTCTAGTATTGATACTTTGCTAGATTCTAGAGAAAAAAATAATATTAGTCGTATATCTAGCTTTTCGAGAGTAGCCTATTTTCATAGGCTACCTTTTATCGCGAAAAAGAGGTGAAAATAGGGGATGAAAGTTTGCATGGAAATTAGTCAATATCAAAATTTGTTTTTAGGCGAATGATAAGTATTAATAAATATTTGATAACAGAAGTGATAATAAAGTATAAACAGAAGATTAACAGAAGTAATTTAGTGACACAATGTCTGTTTCGTATTTATTGCAATAAAATTTGAAACGACTGTTCGTGTCATAAAAAAATAAAAAAGAAGTACTCTAAAAGAAAAATAATCCTGCTCAAAGAAACTATACCACGCGTATAAAATTATACCTATATCTTATATAATATAGTCAACTGATCTTACAATAGGACAGCTGATATAAATATACCATCTTAAAGTTCATTTAGCATATTAATTCTTCGGTTACACGTCATTAATTTCGATTTGTTTACGAAATGGCGCCAACGATTGGTCTGTCTCTGTAATCGCAGGTCATTATTTAGGTACTTTTCTACGTCTTCGCACGTAGAGTAACAAAGCGAGCAATTATTGACGTTCCAAAAATCTCATCATACCTAGAGTAAGTGACGTGTAGCTTCAAAGTGAGCTGCCCTACACTGTGCCGCCCCAATCAGGAAAAAAACCGACAAGTGCACAAGCTACTCATCCGGGTTTTTCATGCCATTCCGGACCGGAAAAAATCGGACCGCCGGACCTGTAAATTGAGTGTAGTGTACGAGCGCCCTAAGTATATTTTAGCTTATTATATTTTCTTATGAATTCTTATACAAAGTAATGTGACCAAATAATTCCAATAGTGATATATGAAACTGTTGAGAATATATGACTTTTTGCTAGAGATGTTAGAGATGGGCATCAGAATTTGCATTCTCCTTTTTAGGGCAATTGTTGGATTTTTCTGTCTAGTTTTCATACCGAAAGTTGCTATGTTCATGTCTGTAAAGATTTTCCATAAAGAAGCGAAAAACTTTTCTTAAAATATATTTTAAATTACTCCCCATGATTCGAAGCTTATATAAGAAGATACTATTAAAGCGTGCACGAGAAATTTTATTGTTGGCTTAAATTTTACTTTATTTATTTCCGAAAACTAAAATACGCGTTTTATGAAATTGCTAATTTTTTCAGCTGGAATTTCACCTAAGTACGAGTATATACACAATTACACGGTTGGCCTTTTACTGTATTAAAAAAAAAATATATGTTTTAGAAGATTCTGGGGTCATCTATATAATTATGTTATTATTTACGAAGATTTACGAAACCATACGAGTACGATGTAGCATACAAAAATCAATGTCGCTAATTTGTTTGTTATTGGATAAAAAATCAGTTTTATAATTGTAATCGCATCATCATTATTATTATCCGCCCTTTTACTTCCCCTGGCTGGAGCTCAGGCTTTTCTTATGGATTGTTAAGGGTGGACGGGTTACCACGTGGTTATCACCCTCCACACTGACCCAATGTGGATTGGAGGGCATTATTGGCTGCAAATCCAGCCGGGATCAATGGCTTAACGTGCCTTCCGAAGCATGGAGTAGCTTGAGATTATATTTCTTTTTTATCACCCATCCCGTGACCGACCTTTGCGAAAATAGCGTAACAACAGCGATCACGGGCCGCGGCGCTTATCTACTGCGTCACCGCGTCAATTTGTTTTATTTATAAATTTTATTTATTTGACTCATTAATTTCGGAATCAACGTTATTGGTATTTCCTATCTTGAAAATAAAAAATCCAACAAGACCTAATATTCAATCTGACGTTTTTGCGAATTAATTTTCCTCGGTGACTTAAATAATATAACTAAATCACACCGTAAACACGTTACCACAACTACTGACTTTACATCAATAGTGTGGTCAGTTTTCGGCGCTAGCATTGACTGCAGTTACTGACCGTTTACTGACCCTATTCAGTCAGACTTTAAGAAATATTACAATGTTAAAGTAGATAGGAATGATTTAAGTTTCCCAGTAATTTTGATAGAGGCTTTCCATTACAACTATAATTGTTGTGCATTTATATAATATACTTCGACTTCGCACGCGTAATTTATAGCCTATCGCAATCGCGTATGATATAGCTACCCGAAACTACTGAGTCTATTCGTTGCAAACATACAAAAAATCAAACCTTTCCTCTTTATAATATTAGTACAAATTGTTCATATTGTATTAAGAATGTGGAATAAAAATAATTTTGACTTTGACTTGACTTTTGATAATTATAGCTACAACTGGTTATTCGCCGAGATCGTTCCGAATCTAATCAAACGGGGTCCCTAAATGTGATTTACCGGATTCCACACTTCAAGTATTTTAAGAATATATGATGACTTCTCATTCCCACTACCTTCAACTTATGAGTACACTTGCTTAGTCTATCAATGTCAATAAATATTGGAGTTCAAGGCATTCTGCAAATTGTGAGAAAATATACTAGGAACAAGGCCATGCACGCATAACCATTAAAACATTACTTTATTACTTTTAATCTAATGTAACGTAAATTTAAAATTAATTACCAATTCCTTATTGATACGATATATTTCGGTAGATATTTATTTGCATAAATATATAATAAATGGATTACGTTAATTCGTTGTCACTAAAAAAGCTTTTTGAAACTTCTTACAATTATACTCGTGAGTTCATTATTTTCGAAATGTCTATAAAAACAATCACTTCGATTTAAAAAACAGTACCTATCTTTTTGAATTGGAAATATCGTCAGTGAATTTTACTTGCATATAACAAGAAAAATTATAATACAACTCAGAAAATATAAAAACAATTTGTGACAAAAATCAAATAGATATATCTCGCGAGTATTTTACGAATAAAATTTAAAGAATAATGAAAAGCGTTCTTAAAATAAGAAATTGAAAAAATAACTAATAACTAGTAACTAAATAAATATATCCCTAATAATAATTCTGTCTACTAGTTAAAGTTTACTTTGAAATAAACTAACTTACTTAAAACTGGTATTTGCATAGTTATTTATTTTTTACTAATAATTATATGCTTTACAATTTATTATTACATCCTCCAGTTCATAAATACATAAGATTGATTTCAATATATCAAGTTCACTAACATAAACAATCCGTACTACAAGTTATTATTATGCAAAATGTACGACGTATTTTGATTCGCCGTAGCGAATGCTGCTATTGACACCTCACTTTTCATAATCTTCAACATTTAGAAAAGTACAAAAAAAAAACCACGTACTTGTTGCATGTTTCCTCTTATCCAGGAGTGGGAGGCTGCTCGGCTTCTGCAGCAATTCCTGCAGTTCAGGTTGCATATCTAATTCGTTATTTCTCGTTTTCATATTAACGGTTTTCACAGACACTTATTTATTTACATGACTGAAAAAAAGTTTTTAACCCGCACTCGTTTTATAGTCAAGGATAGTCGTTATGCCGGTGCATTGCTCTGAACTGCGGTGTTAATAGGGTTGATCGTGTTTTTATTCGGTGGCGTAGCGCCACTGGACCCTCGACGCGGTGATGCTAGAGTAAAGCCGCGAGTCGACTAAGCGCGCCGAGCGGTCAAGGGTACACAGACGCTTTGTAAACGGTCCTTTCTGTACCAAACTCTTTTGAGACAAACGTAACATTTAATTCACGTTGTGTTGTGATCACCTGGTTTTCTCCTCAAGGTTGTATAATTAACGGTTCATGTCAAATATCCATTAATCTGAAATCACTTTACTGTTGGCCGACGCTGAGTTCTTGAATGAACATAGGTTTATCTATTTACACTTTTTGTTCTTACTTTTTGTTTTATTAGCACATATTGCAATTTGTTAAATAAAGTTTGAACTATATAAATGTTGCATAATTTTCCCCGATATTTTTGTTGATGGCGTAATATTTTCATATTAGTATTTATTCATTTCTAAGAACAGTTATAGTAGGTTTGTATTTGAATATCATTAAAATTCAATTTTATCCCAATTTACAAAGTCTGATATTATTCTGTATCTTTTCTTAATCATATTTCCAATTAATGCGAAAGGAAAAAATAATCCAAATAAGTAATCGTGACGCACAAATTGACAGTATTTTGCAGAAATTAACAAAACATGGTACATATATAAAAATTAACATGTTTAAAAGAAGCCATCGACGGAAAAGAAAATGTATTTAAAATTCTGGTTGTGGGTTTTTTGTTACTCATAGTTATGTGGGCTCTACCGGCGATAACATAGGATATTATGCTAATGTCAACACAAGGTTTTCCGCAAACATTTTCTACCTCATCATAATTTAGTTTAATTTGGCGTAAAGCTAAGGCCCTACGTAAGATCTGTCATTTAAAAGCGGTATTACCAAAGAGTACGATATATAATTAATATATAAGGATCTTCGTACTAATTACTGACAGTTAACGCACAGCCTAAATTGCTGATCGTACTTGAGGAAAGTACATTTTCCTATTACCTAAGGGTGCCTCAGAATAGTGTAGTTCGGTGGCGTAGTGGATAATCGCAGCGGCCCGTGATTTTTGTCGCTAACCAACATTCGCAAGGGTCGGTCACGGGATGGGTGATGAAAAAAATATTATCTCGAGCTTCGGATGGCACGTTAAGTCGCTGATCATGCCTGCATTTTGCAGTCGTTAATAAGTGCTCCCCAAACCGCATTGGGCCAGCGTGGAGCGCTGTGGCCCATCCCCCTTAACCATCCATAAGGAGGGCCTGAGTCCCTGCAGTGGAGTCTCAAATGGCTGATGATGACATCATCATCATCTTCGCGATTAGAAAAGCAGGTGATTTCGATGCCACAGTAGTATATGTACAATGTGGAAGTAAAGCAACTTTCCGCAGTAAAGGCCGCGGCCGGTCAAAGAATGGGTGACCAAAGATTTTAATATTTCTCGAGCTGCTCCGTGCTTCGGAAGACACGTTTAGCGTTGGCCCCGGAAACATGTGATGTTATTAACATCCACCAATCCACACTGGATTGCCCATTCTCCTTATTCGTTTCAATTTGATTCCATCCATAGGAAAGATATAGCCCAAAATTTTATATATTCACGTTTTGGATGTGACAAAACCCTTAGTAATATAATATAGTTTTCTCCTTTTTCATTACAACTTAGTATATATAAAAAAAAATTGAGTCCAATTGGAAAACTACTAAAGCCCACGAGTATCGCGTCGATATGAGATACTGATGGACCGGTTGAGGTTGGTGCCCTCTTCATTATTATGAAAAATGTAAAAAAATGCTATTCTGTGGTGTGGCACACATTTAGTCGCTAAGCGCATATTTTTTTTAAACTTTGCATGTGAGCCGTAAACCTATTGACTTTACAATCAATAAAAAAACACGGCCATTCTTGTCGGCAAATTTTGTCACTCGTAACAAAATATATAGGATACTTCCGGTTCAAAATTTGGAAAGAAACAACGGAAAAATCTAAAAACTATTTTGAATGCACAAGAAATATATTATTAACTTATGCCGTTGGTAAAATGTCCACAACCTATGGTGGTGTATAAAACGATACTTTTCTAACATTAAGTTTGCTTTTTTATTTGATTGGTACTTATATGTATACTTGTATATTTTTTTGAATATAGGGAAAATGATTTATGCACCTAGCGAACGATGAGTTTATGTGGCTGTCCTACGCGCATATATCCGGGTATTCAAAACCCCTTATAGGCCTACCCCACAATGCCAAAAAAAAGCCCCACATGGAGGATAAGACCTGGGAAGTCATAGCCCAGGCGCCGGGATAGTGTTTATATAATTTAGTACATACGTACAGTAGAACAATTTTCCTAATCTTAGCGTAATTATCGAAGGTTAATAGACCTTCAAAGACAATCTTGTTTCACTAGATCACAAAATTATAAATTTAAATAAAGAGTACTTTATTTAAACTACCGCGCGTGCGTACTGATGTTTTGTGATTTACTTTGTGGTATTTATTTACTCTCAAAGAAATATGGTTACATTTTGAAATGATAATTATCAGTTTATTATTATTAAGTTAATTAAGCTAATATAAAAGGGACTAGTGAAATAATAGCATTAAATGTTATTTCTCAGGTAAGATTTATAGATATAAGATTTATTAAAATGTTGTAAATGTTTGTTTCTCAATAAACAATTCTCTTTCAGAGCAACGCAATTAAGTTTTATTTCCAAGAAATCCTATAAATTAAACACATTATATAAATATATCTGTCGCCATTGTTTTTTGAGAAAGATAATGCACTATATTATTGGACTACAGATAGATAATACAATTGCAAAATGCAAATAGTTAAGACTATATTTCGATGCGATTGTTACGTAAAAAATAGCGGAATAGAGACTTGTTCTTGTTTTTTTATACTATTGTGCATCTGCAAAATCGTAAAGTAAATTATTGACGTCGTAAAGTAATAAAAAGTTTTTCCCTTTTTTATAATCCACATTGGGTAATCATATAATTTAATAACAAATTAAATAATATTCGCATATACAAATTAATATAATTCTCGATTGCCATCTCAAAATATTTATTACTGAGACGTATTTAATGATCAATAAAATTAATTGATTGTGTTATTAATTTATTTTCATAACTAGAAAAGAAACTCGCCTTGTTTTTAATGTAATCATAGCGTAACGTACTTCATACTTCTCTGGAATCTTTTAAACGTAATTAGTCAAATACTGCCACCGATATTAGAACCTTATGCCTATGAATTAAGACTTAAAGGAACTTCAATAAATATACTTTATTGATCGATTAACGCTGACAGTACAACGTACAATTAAATAACAATTTGTCGTATGTACCTCTTCGGATAAACACAAGTAATCCACTCCATTATAATCTAACACCTACCGTGCTCAGTCTTACATTATGCTGTGTGCTACGAGCAAATAGTCGATGAAACGATGGGTCAAATATTAATCATAATGTGTATCTGTGTATGGTCATACTAAATATATGAAATAGACCCGCGCGAGCATGGGCGAGTTATATGATAACCGCTCATTAGAAAACATTCATGCCCATGATGTGACTACTTCTTTGTTGTGTTTTTGATTGAATAAATCCATAACATTTTCATTTTATTAATATCCTATGCGTCCTTTGAAGGTGGTACTAAAACGATATAACTTTCTGCTAGTCTTTGATAACACACTATAGTATGAAAACACATAGAGACAATATGTTAAATAGGTAGATACTTTAAGTTTAAACAATTGTTACAATTTTCTAAGAACACTAAAACATTGAAGTATTAATCACTTTCACCTGCAGGAAAAGTTAGAAAATTGAGTAAATATTTACTAGAAATTATGTGGTTAATATTGCTTACATATAAAAAAAATCACCACAACCAATCTTATTTAATTATTACCATGAATTCGTTAATGAAATGTAATAAAACCTGCCAATAAAATATGACAGCTTAACGAATGATATAAATTTATGACCTTTGTTTTTTTATGATAAAAATTATCGTCATTTAATGCCCCCATGGAAACAAATAAAACAATTTGTACCTCGGTCCGTTTGCCACGAATCGTGTCCACGTCCCTAGTTCACTGAAGATGACTGAAGCGTGGGATTCCATTCGACATGCTACGGACATGAGATATAAGTATGTACTTATATAAAATTGAAGGGATAGTACAGCGAAAACTTTTTAATGTCGAAAAACGATAGGTTAAATTTATTACAAAGTTTAGTTTTACTCTTTAGGACAAATAAACAAATTATTTAGAATAATATCAATTCCTTCATCGTAATCTTCTGAGCGGACAGTTTGATTCGATACCAATAAGATGACTAATCCTTTATATTGAATTTAGTATGAAGATATTACATTATTTTCGTATTCTTTTAGCAAACCAATTCACAAAAAATAAATAGATCAAGATAGACCGCCATCTTGAATTTAAAATAAGGTAGCTAACCATGCATACCTGTATATATGCGAAATTGCAGCGGTTGGTGATCAAATAATACATAAAATTTATTTTTAAATGTTGTAGGTATGCAAGGATACATTACTACTATTTTACATTTTTATAGACTATTTACTAATGCAATGTAAAGCTTATTATGATATCATGCAAATAAGATAAAGCATGGTGTCGGCGTACCGGAAATAGCCGTTGAAACGACCGTAACAAGATACATTAAATAAATTAATATATAATTGAACCAATGACCGTAAAACACATCCTTTCTAATACTTATTATACTCGTATTCTTAAGTTTTTATATTTATTATGAATAATAAATTCTTATAATTTATTATTCATAATAAATATAAAAACTTATATTTAATTAAAAACTTACATAATATTT